CCACGCGCACACCGTCGTCCTTCATATGACCAATCAAAGTTACCAATTTAGTCCAGGGTCGATTTCCAACCCCACTCCTTTCCTTCCTCTGTTACCATTGGTTTTTCCCTCGCATCACTCCCAGCTTCTCGCATCGTCGGGTTAACATTGCATAAATAAAATATCACCACCAACCCCACACCTGTCACCGTCTTTTCGTCTGCTGGCGTCACTCTCTGCACGCAGACTGATTGGCATTCTCAAACTTGAGGGCTAATGCATTCCTTTTTGCCCCCTTTTTGCTCCCTCTCTCTCTCTCTCTCTCTGGGCTTGCGTTAATGGAGATGCGTTTCCAGTAGGTGAGTCGGCGGTAACCGCGGTAGCAGAGGGCAATAGCTGCTCCGTTAATGAGATGCGTGCGTAGGTGGGGAAGCCGACTCGTCAGTTTTTCTCCTTACGTGCGCGCATGTGCGGGTTTTTACCCAGAATTTGCTCACGTTTTTGGCTACAGAATAAACCCCCTAATGTCTCCTCGAAGCAGGCCAGTTTGTGCCTGAAACTAGGTTCGGTTGTGGAACAGACGTGTGTGTGCTGTCACAGGCACGCACGCCACACCTCATCACTGGTCGTCTTGATTATGTCTTTCCTCGCGAATAGGGCGTAAGAGGTCTATGTTGTCCATATAATTTAACGACTAGCCAGCGGAAAATCCGAATACTGATTTCATTGTCATCGAAATGCGCGGGTAAAGTGCCCATGGTGTTCTGAGGAAGTGTGTTTCTGACGGTGTGATTTCAGGGAAGATATCGCAAAAGGAGTTGTTAAGGCTAAGCCTGTTGAAGCCTAACTACTGCGATCTTCCAGGCCCGGTTCCTTAGGAGATGATAGAGAAGTCTTGGAGAACCAGAGTAGGAGAAGGTTATATTCTGTACAGAACAAATAGTAGAATAGATAGTAGAAAGGTGGTTGACTCGGCCTGGTGTTGAGTTCAACCATCAGGACCGTGAGAGAGCACTGCAGTGTCGCGTCCGTCTCGAGCCGAG